GGAAGGAAGGAAGGAAGGAAGGAAGGAAGGAAGGAAGGAAGGAAGGAAGGAAGGAAGGAAGGAAGGAAGGCCCTTTGCTCCTCCCATTCACTTTACCCTACTTCCTCTCCAGGAACCTCTGGATTCATTTTCTGAGTTACACAAACTGGGAGCTTAGACAATGGAATGCCACATCTCTCTGCTCTGGGAACTAGAAGGTCAAGATTGGCAAACTGATGGTTCCCTCTGAGGGTTGGAAGCAAAGGAGGCTGATGCTCTTCTCTGTGGATGTGGCTGGCTTCTACTCACAGCTGTTTCTCATGTGTGTCTATGCGTGAATCTCTTCTTATGTAAGAATGGCAATCTGACGCCATTTCTACTTTTCTATGTTAAGGCGTATCTCCCGATACAGTCACAATCTGAGATACTGGGAGTAGGTCTTGACCATGGGAACTGGAAGGAGCAGAATTCAGTTCATTGTCCCCAGTGCCCATTCCTCACCCTGGCATTCTCTTATTTTCTTTTCTTTGCTGTTTTTTTGAAGTATTTGTTGTTGTTGTTGTTTTGTGTGTGTGTGTGTGTGTGTGTGTGTGTGTAAAGTATTTTAATATGTCGTCTAGGCAGGCCTGAAACTCACTATACAGTCCAGGCTGCCTCAAACTAGTGGCCTTCCTCCTGCCTCAGCTTCCTGGTTGCTGGGATTGCAGCATGCACTGCCACTCCTGACATATTTGGGTTTCTGCAGTTAGCATGTGCCTCTCCTGCTTCACTATAACCTCCGTGAGATCAGGGAGACAGGGAGACTTCTCTCCTGTTTGCTCATCTGTCTGTTCAGACCTGAGCCCTGTGTGAGCTGTGCGAGTCGATGCAGCCCTCCCCATCCCTCTGAATGCCCCACTCTCTCAGCTCGTGCCCAAAAGCCACATCCCTATCGCCTCCTCCAGAAAAGGCTAGCATGACTGTTTAAGGCCTGAATCTGCCCCCAGAAGGCCTTTGAGGCCTTGGGGAGAGCACGGCTTTGCGTTTTCCTTGCTACTGCTTCATCGTTTGTCAGATCTCCGTGTCTTCCAGAAACAGAAAGATGAACATACCTGTCAGCAACTCCAAGTCACACTTCTCTGTGTGATGCTTAATTGATGATTATTTATTTTCCATGGCAATCTCATTAATTTTCCTGAAAAGTTATCTTTTGTGTTTATCAGCCAAAATGCCAAAAGCAGGTAAATACCATTAGAGGAAGCTGCTCAGGCCCAAGCCAGCTGCTGTGTAATTGGACTGAGATGAAGAAGATTTGGTTTGGAAACCTGAGATTTTTCTATGGTATCATGATTTTTCAGGAAAGAATATAGTCCTTCTATGGCCAGAGGAAGGATAGGTTAGGTATGGCCCTTGAGTCTAGGGTCAACCCAGTGCTCTGAGAAAAATGACATCATCATCATGATCATCACCATCATCATCACAATCACCATCACCACCACCATCATCATCACCATCATTATCAACATCATCACAATCGCCATCACCTCCACCATCACTGGCATTATTGTCACCACTACCATCATTACCTCCATTATTGTCACCACTACCACCATCATCACTGTTATCACAATCTCCACCACCATCATCACCACCACCGCTGTCATCATTCCCCGTCATCACTCACCTCATCACCACCACCATCACTGGCGTTATCGTCACCACTGCCATCATCACCAACACCAGCACCACTGCTGTCATCGTGGCAGTTACCAAGCACATCAGGTTTTCTCTCCTCCCGGCTCTGAACAGAGTCTCATTTATTCCCTAGCCGGCTCTGAACTCACGGGATAGCTGAGGATGACCACAAACTTCTGACTGCACACCGTGCACCATCATTCCTGGCTTCGTGTGGTACCGGGGATTGAACCCAGGGCTTTGTGCATGCTAGGCCAGTACTCTACCAACTGCGCTATCAGCCTGACTCCTGCTTCTGGCTTTTGATCGTGTTTTAACCACAAGATCGTCTAGAAGCAGTGTACCATGTTAAAGCACTTCTTTCATCAGAGATGTGGAGATCAGCCCATGTGATGCGGGAAGTCCTCTTACACCCATGCTTCCTGACGCAAGTCGGCGGGGCAGGGTGGGAGGCTTGCCTGCTCTGCTAGGGGCAGGGGCAGCTGGAATGGCTCTCCTCTGGGGGCATTTCTGCTGAACTCTGGATGCAGAGCTAGCAGCTGCTCCAGAGCAGGCACTTGTAGTTGGTCAGTTTTTTTCCTCTTTGGAGGTCTGCACCCAAATAAATGCACAAAGGTTTATTCTTACTTATGAATGCCCAACCTTAACTTGGCTTGTTTCTAGCCAGCTTTCCTAAGTTTTACCAGTTTCTCCTCTTCTATGTTTTACTGCTGGACTCTTTCCCTTTCTTTATTCTTTATTTCCTTCTTCCATTCTTGCTCCATGGCTGGTTGTGTGGCTGGGTGCCTGACCCCTGCTGTCCTTCTCTCCTTTTTCTCTCCTAGCCTAGATTTCTCTTCCTACTTATTCTCTCTGCCTGCCAGCCCCACCCACCCTTTCTCTTGCCTTGCTATTGGCTGTTTAGCTCTTCACTAGACCAATCAGGTGTTTTAGGCAGGCAAAGTAACACAGTTTCACAGAATTAAACAAATGCAACATAGAAGAATTCAGCAAATCTTTGCGTCATTAAACAAATATTCCACAGCATAAATGAATAGAACACATCTTAGGCTAATGTTCCACAACAGACACTTCTCGTTTTGATTCCAAAGGCACAAAAAAAAAAAAAAATCCAGTGGAACCAAGTACTTCTGAGGTAAATTCAGGAGCTAACTGGCCAAAAGCAGTCAGGTGGGCAAGCTCAGAGCTAGGGGCCAGGGGCATCCAGCACCTTGAGGTAAATGTTCAAAATGATTGAAACAAGACTCAGACCCCGACCAGGCACTCTTCCATCACCATTGAAGGGGAGGAAGCTCCCCTCCTCCCCCTTTCCTACCTCTTGTGAATTTCTTATTTTTAGAAGCCCTCTGTCCAGTGGCACCGTGTCCCTTCTTGTTTCACCAGGCCCCAACCCTCTTTCATTTGGACAAGTCGGGTGTGCAGAGCAGTACGGGACAGCCAGTCCTAACTGAACTACCCTCATCCAGCCCATTATGCCCTGCATAAGTTTGGTGGTGGTAATAGTATTGACTGGGTAATGGGGAATTGAACAGTATTTTTGCCTTGACGCAGAAGAACCTTCAACCACACAACTGCTGTTTTGCATATGAGGCAGCTGTCGGTGCAGAGACGATTGCCGTGAAAGACATCTTTCGGGAAAGTGTTGCAGGCTCCTGGACACCTGCTCCCGCACTCGGACATGAGACCCAGTTAGAGCCTTCTTCCTGCCTCTGTTACTCACTGTCTACTCTCTGGAAGTAAACCCCACTATTTTGGGGTGTCATTTTCCCACATTGCCTGGAAATTCCATGGCAATTTCTTTACCTACCTTCTCCTCCCCCATATCCCTCCCACTTTCCCTCCCGTCCCGTATCTGTTGCATTTCAAACTCAGGGACTTGTATGAGCTAAGCAAGCGCTCTGTTCTAGAGCTATACCCACACCCTTGCTTTGTGACTTCAAACATTTGGCTTAAAAAATATAGCAGATAGGAAGTCACAAAATAAGAAGATAAAAATTACCAGAACTTCCTTTTCCTGTGGTTAACTGTAGTTTTCCCCCTGAGCCCCATGTGTGCCTAATGTCAGGTGAGAACACACAGCCAGAGATCATTTCCCATTTGAGGCTGTTGAAGATCGTTTCTCTCCACTTTCCCTCGGTGGCATCTCAGTTCAGGGACGCTGCTGGATCGGGGTTTACTCGATGTGGGAGATCGCAAAGGCTAACCAACTCTTCACCCACTTGGTTCATCTCCAGCCTGTGCTGTGGGCTTTGCTTTGGCCAGTGAGGAGCCGCAGGAACTAGTACAGAGCTTATGTGGTTGCACTTGGTTGGTCCTTCCCTCTGCTCTCTCCAAGAACCCAGTACACCCCAGCTCGCTACAAACCCCAGGAGCAGAGTGGGAAATGGGGGAGCAAAGCTGACTTACTCTGGGGTGTTGAAGGTACTGTAGAATGACCAGCAATCCCAGATGTGTGTGAGGTGACCCATGTCGGTGCAGAAATGTGGCAGTGTATGTGTGCTCCTGATCATAATGGATGTATGTTGTCATGTGGCATCTCAGCTGCAGGAAGTGCACTGTGTAGAGTCTGCAGAGAGAACCTCTTTCTGATTTGAGATGCTTAGCCATTCAGAGCTTGGGACCAAGCTGGTGAGTTTGAATGGTGAACTGGAAGGTGGCCGCAAGGCCATGAGCTAAGGGAAGTGGTGAGTTCCAGTATCAGGACCAATGTCACATGTGGGCCTCTTCACACAGCACGTCACCTCTCGGAGCCTCCATCCCATGGTCTATAATACAGGGATCAGATCAGATGGCACCTCAGGTCTGCTCAGGCTTTGAGGACCTGGGATTCCCAGATGGACTCCACAAATTCAGGTCAGAGCCCGAGTTCGGATCCCACTGAGCTGAAGACCTCTGCCCCGAAAAGATGGCGTTCTTGAAACTTCTATGTCTGAGCACTTCTGCACAATGTGTTTGACAGGTGGACAATGGACGCTGATGACAGCTGGGTCCCCATGCAGGCATCAAAAGGCAGCAGGAAAAGACCATAAGCTTGGCATTAGACACCTGAGGTGTGCCAATCAGTGCTCCCTCGAGGAACGGAACCAACAGAATGAGTCTGTAACAGAGGTGGGCATCGGAGCTGCTTACGTGGCACAGGCCGGGTCATCCAACAGTGGCTGCCTGTACGCTGAAGAGGCTGAGAATGCAGCTGCTGTTCAGTCCTAAGACTGAATGCTTCCACAGTCCTGGTTGGGTGCTGAAGATCTGGAGGATTCCGGAAGAGCTGCTGGTCTTTGTTCCATATTAGGAGGCCAAAGAAGTTAGGCTGTGATGGCAGCGAAGAATGGCCCCAGCAGCAACTAACCTCACTCACACCAGGGAGCAAGGGCAAGCAAGTAAGCAGCATTCTTTCCCTTGATTCTATATGTGGGACACTGGCAAAAGGTGCTACCCACTTTGGGGGGGAGTGCATCTTCCTCTCTCAGTTAGTCCTTCCTGAAAATATACTCACAGAGCTCCCTAGAGGTGTGTCTGTCTCTCTGTTTCTCTCTCACACTCACCCTCTCTCAAAAGGTTTGTTTTTATTTTTAGATGTGTGTATGTGTGTGTCTGTGTGAGTTTAGGTTTGTGCATGTGAGCACATTGCCCTCGGAGCCCAGAAGAGTGTGTTGGATCCTCTGGAACTGGAGCTATAGATGATTTTTAGACACCTGAAGAGGATGCTGGGAACCAAACCTAGGTCCTTCTCTGCAAGAGCAGTACGTGATCTAATGGCATCCCTCTGGCCCACAGAGGTATGTCCCTTAGATGATTCTAGATTCAAGATCACCTTCACAAGACAGCATGTTAGGAGGTGTTTGACTGGAAACATCCTGTCACACCCAACAGTGGCATCCACCATAGGGTATTTACCGTTTACTCAACAAGAAATTCTGGAGGTCGGTGATCCTAAGGACAGTCAGTGTGTTATCCTAAGGACAGTCAGTGTGTTATCCTAAGGACAGTCGGTGTGTTATCCTATGGACAGACAGTGTGGTATTTTGGCCCTGGGTGAATCTCAGATTTCCATGCTGCGTCTTCCACCTGTTGGCCTTGTCTGTGTCCTCAAGCACCTAAGAAGTATACCACAGGCCGTATACTTACTGTGCACAGCATGTCTACAGGTAGGAAGAGCAGTGGCCTTGATGAGGGGATTTGTCCTGAAGCCCCCACCCCACCTCCCACCACTACTTAATCAGAGAGAAACCATTTCTCATAAGCTCCTCTTGCATCTCTTTGGCCAGAAGGGGTCACGTGATCTTCCATATCAAGTACCAGCAGGTGCAAACAGCTGAAATGGATGGTGATTTGTCTGCTTGGGCCAGCCAGATTGCCATGAAGACGTGGTACTGGGCAGGGAGGGCAGGCTGGAGGTTAGTCGGTAGTTGACAGAATCCCAACTGTTTTATTCGATTATAGTTTAATTATCTGCGTTGAGCCAACCATTTGACTTCTCTGAGTTCCAAATTCCATGTCTGAAAAGGTAGAATGGTCGTATGTTATGGAGCTGTTTTCTTGGGAATCCAAGCCATGTAATATCAGGGAAGGACCCAGTGTTGCTTGCTGGCATTTTCAATCATGTGTATTCTTCACAAGATCAGGCCAGCAACATCCCAGCATGGATGTGGGCAGGGTTCATGAGCCCCTCTCCCTAACTGAGGAGCCATTGACTGACTTCTGGGTCAGGGAGAGTCAGTTTTCTTTAAGGCTGTGTGGTAGGTTGGGCACACTCAGATGGGTGGTTCCCCACACAGTACAGATTGAACTCAGTGGGCTGTTTTTTAAATAGAAAGAAAAAGAGGGCATAGAGAGAGATGGGGAAGGGCTCAGGAATGGCTATAGTCAAAATATGTTATATGCACTATGAAATTCTCAATTAATAGAAATATTATATTTAAACATCACAGTAGACTAAAGCAAGAACAGGAAGAAATGAGGTAGTACTAATGTAAACCATACCTCAAATGTGTGCATTTCCCCCTCTGCTCTAAAGACAAAATACACCCAGCTGACCGCAGATCTCAGGAGCATCGCGGGGGATGGAGAGCAGGGCACACGTGTGGTGCACATGCTTGCTCACATATGTGTGGATGTGGAGGGCAGAGACTGCGGTCACTTGCCTTCCTCAATTGTTTCCCACATTATTTTGAAGTCGGGATTTCTAGTTGAAACTGGAGCTCACCGGTTCAGCTACTCTGGCTGGCCAGCAAGCCCCAGGGATCCTCTTGTCTCTGTCTCCCTAAAGTTGGGATTGCAGGCCCCCACTATAATTTTATGGTGGTGCCGGGAGTCTGAACTCAGCCCTCATTCTTGTGTGGATCCTCCCCACCTCAAGTATGCTGGACTGTACCGTGATCTGCCATGTTCCCCCAAACCAGCCGCACTTGCCCTTGATTCATTATTTTGGATGGCAGTGGCAAGGGCAGCCCCGCAGAGCCATCTATTCCCAGTTTTCAGTTTCATTAAACCCTCTCTCCAGGACAAGACACGCATGAGCATTGCCAAAGTCAACATGCTTGGCTGCAGCCTTCACGCCGCGGCCCCTGCTGCTGGGACAGGGCTCTGTGCTGGTTCGTACATATTGGTTTTGGACAGTGACTGCTGCAATTCTGTCTTCTGATTTCTTATGGGGCAGATTTAGCATCTGGCGACATGGCCTCTGACTGGGAGGGCTCTCTAAGCAAGCGTTAGAGTTGGCCGCGTGCTGGAGGCAGCTTTGGGAGATGAGGCGAGGGGCATCTGCTTGGGCAGACAGGTGGCCGTTCCGCGCTCCTGCGGGCCTGTCCAATGGCACTTGCCAAGCTTGCAAATCTCTCTAGAGAGAGCTCTGCATTCTGCCATTCTCTCCTTAGTGATCCGACCGTTGCAATTCTACAGGAGATCCCAAGCCTTGGTCCGACTAGGACAGCCGCCGGCACTGATCTTAATCAGAGGCCGGATATATCTCAGGAGCCCCGTCTCTGTCATGGGGCCTGCAGGTGCATGAGTGACAAAGTCCAGATTCTTCCCAGGCCCCAGAATTCTATGTAATCTGCCCTTTCTCCCACTCCAGCCCCTGTCCTCTCTCAGGACACCGGCGCAGTGGCATAGGAGAGACTGTGGCTAGACCACTCTGTTGCTCCCCTGGACGGTTTTAAACTAGAGGACCCTGGAGCAGCTCTGGGACCAGGGTGAGAGCCAGTGTCATCTCTTCTGAAGAAGACCTGTCATTTGGTTCAAGTTTGGGGACAAATGACTGTGCCCCACTCTAAAGAGGCCCAACCCTGTTCCCAAACAACCTGACCCGATCACGACACAAGGCAACTTGAATCTGCAAAACCAGTGGCTTCCATTCCCACCGTGGCAAGATAATGGCATGATGTGGTGAAGTTCTGGTTAAGATATAGTAGCAGGGCCACGTGGGGTGCGTGGTGAGTGGGGCCTCCTCCTCAGCGCGCTCCTGGGCAGCAGGCTGCACCTCGGCTAGTGTAAGCAGAAAGGGAATCACTAACCACATGAGGAGACGCACACAACCCATGGAGCGTGCTGGGGAAGCAGGTCAAGGCCGGCCTGCCAGGATCGCTGAAAGGACTACACGGGACACCAGGTTTTCAGCTCGACAGCTGCGGCTGCCCCTGTACATGAGTGTGTTGAGAGTTGGTATCTTGGTGAGGGCAAAGCCCAATATAAGCACACCCAAAAAAAAGAAGTGGAGAAAGATTAATACTACGCACCGCACAGGTGAGTGCAGGAGTCCTTTCCAAAGCACTGCCCTCGTGGTGGGAGGGGGGGCAGGGGGGAGTAAAGAAGCTATTCGTATTCCTATAGGAAAGCAGTTTATGGGCGAGCACACTTCTGAGCATGCTCAGTTAACGAGCATTCCTGCGCATGCTCTGTTGAAGACCAAGAAAGGGTGTCTCACACCCACGAATGTGTTGTCGGGCCCAGAGTGGACTCATTGGGGCTTGGGTACTCACCTTTAATCCCAGCATTTGGGAGACGGAGCAGGAGGATCCCTGTGAATTCAAGGCTGTCTGGTCTACATAGCAAGTTCCAGGTCACCAAACTACATTAGTGAGACTGTCTCAAAGGGAATGAGAGAGACAGAGAAAGAGAGACAGAGACAAAATGGGAATGTAAGAGAGGGAGGGAGAGAGGAACAGAGGGAGGAAAACAAGATTTTTGAGGGAGTGGGAGGTAGAGAGAGTGGATTTGGGAGGAATTAGAGAAAGGAGTGGGGTAAATATGATAAAATATATTGAATATATGTAAAAAATCTTAAAGAATTAGTGATTTTTTAAAATTCCATCTCTGAGACACACTTAGTCCAAACTTATGTCCAGTATATGTTCAAAAGGTTAAAATGGGAGATGGGACCCTTTTGAGGATGCTCAGATGCATCAGAGTGACGGCAACAGAAACAGCTCAGCTCAGACTGCTGGGCTTTCACTTTTAACATTTCAGTTGGGAACAAAAGAATCTGAAGTTGCATTGCTGCTGGTGTTTCTCTTCCTAGGTGCCTGCCTCAGAGGGCAGCACATCCATCAAGGTGTTTTATCTACTCAGGAAGGAGACCTGGCTTCACCCAGTCTATGGTCCAAGTCGTTGTCATCAGCAGAACCCAGGTACCACCTGTGCCAGCAACAGGAAGCCCTGGAGATACCAGTTCCTACGCGGTACCGCCTCTGAGCCGAGGCTTGTGTGGTGGTGACCGGTGGATGACCTCTGAACCCAACCCACAAGGAGGGTGTGTCTGGCTTCTGTGATGAGGAAGCAAACCCCCTGATAAAGGGATGTCAGAGTTCCCCAGGATGGCAGGGCTGTTTAAGACTAGGGGACGGGGGTTTCCCAGCAGGGAAGGCTGTGGATGGGGTTCCACAGGGCACAGTGGCTGGCTGGTTAAACAGGCTTTTGTAGCTCCTCATGGCCTGTGCTTTGGGCCCTGATAAAGCTTTAATGGTACCATTTCTCCAGCGGGCTGTTAGGCCAATGGCGGGCTGCTGCCCCGGGGAAATGATAACACAAAAGCCCTTATTGTCAACATTTGCTTCCCACCAAGATGAGCCAAGCACGGTAACTCTTTCATGTTCAAGTATCTGCAGTAACCCTGTGAGGCAGGTTTATCCCTATGGCTGAGAGTTTCGGTCTCAGAGAGGCTGTCAATCCTACAGCAAGGAGGAAGAGGAGGATGAGGCGAGGAGGAGAAGGGAGAGCGAGGATCAGGGAGCAGCCTGACCCCAGAGCGGGGAGCCTCCTCTAGTCCATCACACCGTGGCTTTGTAATACATGCATGTAATCTACAGAGGTCTCTAGGATACAAAATAAACATCACCACGTTCCTGATGAGGCCCGCGTGACAAGACTAGGTTTATAGGGAAGTGGTTATCCCCTCCTCAGGGTCAAGCTCTTCCTAGTGTTTCCTGAAGAGAAGCCCTTTCTGTGATCCTGGCTCCTTACAATGTGTAAGAAGGACCTCTGATGCCTGAAAAGCACACTGTCCGAGACAGAAAAGCCCTGTGCAACCTAATGAGGGCAAAACAAAGAATCATTTCAATGGCGGCTCTGTGACCATAGGTTAGGTCCCTAGAGAGCGCTCGCAGGTTCTGAAGGGAGCGCTGTGGTGTCTGGGGGTTCTCCTGCTCAGTACCGCTTCCCTGTGATTTATTTCCTGTGGGTTAGGAGCAAGAAGCGCCACTGGCGTGTTCATTGGCGTGGTCACTCAGCTGCTGGCTATGGGGAAATAATACACAATAACAGCTAAGCAGAACAAACATCAAACATTCAAACTAGAGTGGAGCGAGTCGGGTTGGGGAGTGAGCAGAACAGGATCCGGAGAAGAAACACTCAGAACGAAGGGATGCAGAGGGATGCAAACCTGGGGGCCGCTGAGGGCCCCCTCCCCGGGTGCCATGGTGTCCACGTGGGGGTGGGGACTCCTGGTCTCCCTGGCTCCCATCCCCAGCCAGAAAGTCCTGCTTTCTGCTCTCCTCGGAACCTCTCTCCTGCCCTCATTTCTCTTGCCCTTCTCGGAGTTTATTTTTAGCGGTTTCCTTTCTGAAGCTGCAGACCGCAGAGAGGCCCTGCTCCTATCCTCCTTCCTCTTCACCTTGCCTCCTGTACACAAGGATGAGCTCACCCTTCCCCAGCTAGCTAGCTTGCCCCTCTGGCCGCCAGGTTGCTGTGAAGAGACCCCAGTGCCTGGGAGCAGTGGAGTCAGAGAGTTTCTTCTTCAGCGCTCAGGGACTGCTCCGACCTCCCTAATTACCCCTGGCTCATTTCTAATCAGCTTTGCCATTATCTTGCACTGAAGCCCTCCCAGAATCTCATTAATTGCCTATAAGTACAGTTGGCTGGTTCATTTATTTTTTTTTCTTTTGAAAACAGAAGATCCAAATGGTTTAACCCTATTTTTATTTTAAGACTTTAGGAGTTTTGTAAATTTCAGAGTTAAAGACAAAATGTCTGGATACATAGTCATCCAATTCACATGTACACACACCATGTGCCAACAGTACAAAACTTTGTGGGGGCAAGTGGGAAGGGAAGGGGCATGATCTGAGGGCTGGAATGTATGTAGCATGGGCATCATCCCTCTTACCACCATCACCATCATCACCTTCACCACCACCAACACCACATCATCACCACCAACACCATTATCATCATCACCACCAACACCATTGTCATCATCACCACCAACACCATTGTCGTCATCAGCACCACCATCACCACCAACATCATCACCATCACCACCAACATTATTATCACCAACACCATCACCATCATATTGTCATCAACACCAGCACCATCATCACCAACATCATCACCACTAACACCATAATTACCATCAACACCATCAACACCAACACCGTCATCACCAACATCATCACCATCACCACCAACACCATTACAATCAACACCATCATCACCAAATCATCACTACCACATGATTACTACCAAGACCAACACACTGTCTTCCATACCTCACTATCACAACCACTACCAATAATAATACATCATTATCAATGTCACCATTGCACCACCAACACTTCCATCCTCATCACCACCAGTGCCATCACTAGCACTCTCACCACCATGTGTACCATCACTATCACCACTCAAACCATCCTGAACAATAATACGTCATTACCCATAATGCCATCATCTCTGCTACCATGGTCAGTCATACTGTCTTTACGTTTAACAATGCCATCACTGCAGATAGCACTATCACCATGAACACCAGGAAACCACCATACCATCTCCACCCAACCACCCCAGTCAACACCACCAGCATCAGCACCACACCACCACCATTTTCCTGTACCATCACCACTACCAACAGCAAATTGGTTGCTTTTATATTTGCTGTGAGTCATGTGGAACCTAAATAGCTTAAAGGAAGAAAAATGGTTTGGCTCAGTGTTTTGAAGTGGTCCCGTCTGTGACCTAAAGATACAAATCTTGAAGAAAGTATGAAGAAGCCATAAGATACAAGAAACATCACTCTTGACCATAGGCCAAGGCTGAAGCAATTCTCCAACAGTTGGACTGTGGAGGTGAGACCTCAAACAAGCTGACTGAGCCAGGGCAGTGACCCAGAAGCCCAAGGAAAGAGGCAGCCAAGGTTATGGGAAGTGGGGCCCGCTGAGCACAAGTGCTCACCAAGTCATTAGGACTCCAACAACCTCATCTGCAAAATGCCAATGGTTTCTTGTGTGTGGCAGGCTATCGTGAGTGCTGAACCTTTGGCTGCCCCATTAGGTCAACATGTTTCATTGCTCAAACCCAGATAAGAATGCAGATGGGCATCTGTCCTTTGTCTCAGCCTTGTGACTCAACTTTCAAAGCCAAGTCTAGGCAGACTGGGAGAGAGATGATGCAGGGAGGCCCACGTTCTTGATGCTTGGTGGGAGGAAGTACCAGCTTAAGCTTCCAGGCTCTTCAACTGTCTCTCCTGCTCATGAGCCTGAGATGTCACCACATGACGGTGACACAGATGTAAGGACATGGTTCAGTGTAGACATATCTAGAAGCAGTGGAGCCTGAAACACTAGGCCCTGATTTGCCCTTGCTGCCTACACAGATTGGGATGTGTCTTAGTTAGGGTTTCTATTGCTGGGGAGAGACACCATGACCACAGCAACTCTTATAAAGAAAGCATTTAACTGGAGTGACTCACTTAAAGTTTCAGAGGTTCAGTCTGTTATCATCATGGTGGGGATCATGGAGGCGTGCAGACAGATGTGGTACTGGCTACATCTTGGTTTGCAGGGAACAGGAAGTCAAATGAGATACTTGGCAGTATCCTGAGCATAGGAAACCTCAAAGCCCACAGTGACACACTTTCTCCAACAAGACCACACCCACTACAACAAAGTTAACCTCCTAAAAGTCCACTCCCTATGAAATTATGGGAACCAGTTACACTCAAGACACCAAAGGGTATCTTGAACTTTAGCCCCCAAGTACATTTCAGCTAGTATTTTAACTCTAAATACTGAGGAAGGAAAGGGTAGCAGAAAATATAGGTGTTCGATAGACCAAGTTAGGGGTTCTCACAAGTCAGAGGGAAAGTATTGTGTGATGCTAACCTTTTAGCTTTCTTCACACGAAATAAGGTTTACTTATCAGGAAGTCATTCATCTCATGATTTCTCTCTCTCTCTCTCCCCCCCCCTCTCTCTGTCTCTCTCTCTGTCTCTCTCTCCTCCTTTTCCTTTAGGCGTGAAGGATGCAGGAGTAAAGGATCATGGATTCTGCCTCTGGAGTTTCAGAGAGCAACTGGGGCCAGCCAGTATATGACATGAAGGCCCTTTGAGAGAGGAGCAGGCCATGAGAGGCCATTGAATGAATCTATGAAGGTAAAGCATAGATTTTAGTTGAGCCCCCAAGATGTTAGAGAGCCAAGCTGTGAGACATCTCCCAATAGAGCCAGGCCAAGAGAGGCATGTTGCGGGCAGCAAAACTGGGGGTGGAACCATTGAAGACCCTTAAATTAAAGTTATGGACACTGGATATAGAGCTACAGGATTTGGTGTTTGCCCTTCTGGGTTTTGGTCTTGCTTTGGCTCAGTATTTCCTTCTGGGCTTTGATCTTGCCTTGGTCCAGTATTTCCTCACTGTTCCTGCTATTCTTCACTTTTAGGATGAGAATGTATAGTCTATGCTATTATATATCAGAAGTGTGTAATTTACCTTTTGACGTTACAGGGGGTTATAATTAATAGATTCTCTTGAGTCTCAGAAGAGACTGTGGACTTTGGTTTTAAAACAGTGTTGAGACTGTGAAAGACTAGGAAGACTTTTGGAGTTAAACAAAAAACATTTTATGTTATGGTATAGCCACAAGACTGTGGGGGCCAGGGAGCAGAGTGTGGTGGCTTAAATGAGAAATGTCCCCCCACAGGCTCAAGTGTTAGAACACATATTCCCAGTAGGTGGCGCTGTTTATGGAGGCAGTGCAGTCTTGCTGGAGGAAGTTACATCACTGGGGCAGGGCTTTGAGGGTTTAGAACCTTACCCCTTCCCAGTTCTCATTCTGCTTTGTGTTTGTGGTTGTAGGTATGCTTTCTCAGCTGCCACACCTGACACTTGGTGCTATGCCTCATTCCCACCATGATGGACTCTTATCCTGGTGTGGGAGAATTGTCTGTATTCTGTCAATCATGTTTTAAATAAATGCTGATTAACCAGGCAGGAAGTATAGGCGGGTCAACCAGACAGGAAGGAGAGGCGGGGCGATGAGAACAGGAGAATGCTGGGAAGGAGGAAGTTCATTTCTCCAGAGTCCAGCCCAGATCACTGAAGAAGCAAGATGTGAGCTGCCCCACTGAGAAAGGTACTGAGCCATGTGGCTAACATAGATAAGAATAATGGATTGATATAAGTTATAAGAGTTAATAAGAAGCCTGAGCTAATGGGCCAATCAGTTTTATAACTTATGGAGATCTCTGTGTGATTTTGTTTGGGACTTGCCAGCTGTGGGGTACCCGGTAGGACAGAAACCCCAACAAGCCAGCCTACATGTTACATTATCCCTCTGGACTTACAAGCCCAGAATAAACTCCTTTATTCTGGAGTTAATAAACTCCTTTATTCTGGTTTATCTGGCAAACCAAAGTTGCTTTGGGTTGTGGTATTTTATCACAACAATAGGGATGTAGCGGGGCCTCTGTAGTCCAGGGCAGCTCCAAACTCAAGACTGTGGAGTCGTAGGATTACAGGCTTGTATCACGTTCATCAACCTTTTTTGACTGCCTGCCCTTCCCTGCCCCCAACACAAAATGTCATGTAGACAACGCTGAGGAAGACTTTGAACTTCTACCTCTCCTCTCTCTACCTCCTGAGTATTGCCAGTACAGGCTTGTGTGATCATGCCCAGTTTTGTGCTATGGCTAGGAACTGAACGCAGGGCCTTTTGTGTGATTGCCAGCTAAGCTATACCTGCAGTTTTGTCCTGAGCCTCACACACGTGTGTGTGAATGGTTGAGAGAAGAGCATTCAGGACCATAGTTCTCAGATTCTGCAGAAAGAACCTCCAGGGTAGCATTTAAGCATGTCAGGTGCAAGAAGCAGTGTGGTTTGGTTTTTGTTGTTTGTTTGCTTTGCTTTGTTTTGTTTTTGTTTTTGTTTTTGAGACAGGGTTTCTTTGTGTAGCCCTAGCTATCCTGCTACTCACTCTCTAGACTAGGTTGGCTCCAAACTCAGAGATCTGCCTGCCTCTGCTCCCCTCCCCACCCCAGTGCTGGGATGAAAGGCGTGCGCCACCACCGTCCAGCAACGTTGCAGTTTTAAGATCTCTTGACTTTCCAGGAGGTTGCAAGTGATTAAGACTGGCAGCAGATTCGAGACACAGTGGCCCTGCCAGGTCACAGGGTGAGAGCATGCTGGTTCCTTCTGTTCCTCCTTCTCTCAGAACCTGCTCTGCCAGTCCTGCGGCTTCAGGACCGTGGCTTCAGGAGCCAGAGCCCAGGTGCCTTAACAAGGGCTTCTCTCTTCCCAGGCTGTTGAGAGTTAAAGATAATGTGTGTGAAAACGCCCCGGGCAGAAGGCAGGTGCTATTATTTGTAATTTACTGATGAAGAAACTGAGGATTTGAGGCCTCGCTTGAGCGCCAGTCTGGAGTCCTGGGAAAGATGGTTTCCAAAGAAAATACCCAGGGCTCCCTTGAGCTCTGAAGATGCCTTCAAAGGTGAGGTTTGGTGGAGTTGCTGCTGTGTAGATTACCTAGAAAGAAAAGACTCATGGGATGAGTCACAACCCTTCACCCCCCCACACCCCCTACATGCCCCCAGCTCCTTAGGTACTGGCCTGAATCCATGCACAAGGAACAGAATGAAACAGGGATCCCCAGTGGCTGTCCCCCGTACACCCACACACTGCCTGGCAGACTTGCCTTACAACCCTTTGCCTGTTTTCATCACCAGCTCTTTATTTATGTCCTGGGTCAAGGGACATGACCTAGAGATTCTGAGTCAAGGCCATTGTCACTTGGCAGTACTTCATTAGATCACGGCTTAGGGTCTCTTAGGCCCAAGGGAGTGTCCAGGACACCTGAAATATTATTTCTCCACCTGAGACTATCAACATTTGGAATAGCTAATTCTCTTTGCAGGGGCGGGGGAGGGCAGTGCTGGGAGGTGGGTTCTGTTCTACCCACCAGATGCCAGCAGCATTCCAGTCGTGACAACGAAAATGTCTCTAACCAGGCCTCGCCAAACGAGAATCACTGATGGCAGAGCTCCCTTTTCCTGCCAGCGCGTGGAAAGGAAGCGTGGTGTTCCCTGTGTGTCAATACGGATTTATTTTACACCTTTTCGGATTTAAATTCACACCAGAAAGCATTACCCTGGAGTATTTCAGCTGCAGACGGACCAGACAGGGATAGGAATGGGATTCTCTTCTTCACAAAAGGCCATGGAAAAGCCCCGAGAGCTTCAGCCAGGGACAAACCCTCAGCTCAGATGACTCGGGGAGACAGGTGCCCAAGAAGAAACCAGACATGCACATGCACAGGGACAGTTCTGGGCCTGCTCCTTTGTTCCAGGGTGGACGGCTCTTAAAAAAAAAAGAAAGAAAAGAAAAGAAAAAGAAAAAGTATTGCGTGTATTTTATGTGTATGTGTTCCTGTGTTTGCGCATGTGCACCCACGTGCCATGTTGCGTGTGGAGGTCAGAGGACAACTTGCAGGAGCCTGTTCTCTCCTTCCACCATATAGGTTTCCTGGGATCTAACTGAGGGTCAGGCTTGGCGGCAAGCCCCTTTGCCATCCTCCAAAAGATCGTTGTGGGACTCCCAAGTGGGCCTTCAGTGCCCTTTGATGGAAAAGCAAATTTCAGTGGCCAGGGAAGGTAAGACCTCTACTTTGGAAGGAGCATACATCACCCTGCACACGCGGATGTGACAGAAGGAAAATGTGGTAGGCAAAGTGAAATGTCAGTATTTGTTACCGATGGAGTAAAGATAGGGTTTCAGGCGATTCCTCGTTTGTTTGCTTGTCTTGACACCCCTCCCCCCGTTTTCTGGCTAGTCGGTGAAGTTGCTTGTAGCGAGAACTGCAGCCAGAAGAGGACAGGGTTCTCCAGGAGCTGGAGAAGAGAGGGAACCCAGAAGCGACCCCAGCAGGGTGACAGTCTTTCTAGGTGCTTTCTAGGTGGAGATGTCACCAGGAGGGCTTGTCCTGGGAGGACACGGCCCGCCCTCCTCCCCAGGCCGTGAATCCAGGCTTGGAGTGGCCTGTGCGGGGATCCGGGGTGTGGCCAAGGACAGCTGCCAGTGTGACCCGGGGCCTATTGGCAGATCGGAGTTGAAAGTGTGTTGGGCGTCTCTAGAGCGCTTTACTGGGCTTAGTTCCCAGGTTCACGGAAAGAGCCCGCACCGCCAGAGTCATGGCCTCTGGGCTCGGACAGCGCCCCCTGTCGGTCTTCACGCGTTGTGGTCAGGACCGGAAGCCCCACGTCCTGTCCTACGGCAGCAGCCGCCTGCCCGCAGCTCGGCCGCCCTCTGCTGGCAGAAAGTCTGAACGACACTTGGCGTTTGCTGTGCCCTTGAAAACGGAGAAAGCTGGGCACAGCGGTGGGGAAAGGGGACGCCTGAGAGGGAGGACCTTGGTTACTCTCAATGTCTTTGTGGGGCTTTCGAGGAGCACGACAAGATGACTACCCGTCCCAGGGTCCCTCTAGGTCTGTGAGTGGCCTGCTGAACAAGCCCGGCTGGTGTGCCAAGCGCCCTGCAGTGGTGTGGGGGCGGGGATGCAGGGGTGCGATGGTCCTCATCTGGATGTCTTCGAAAAAGTGCTACAAACCGAGAGGCTTAAATATCATATTATATTCAGAAATGAATTACTTCCTAATATCGCTCTCTGAAGGCTCCAGGGAGGGTCACGGGCAGAACTAAATTCGTCCCACATGGCTTTATCCCTGAGCCCACCTTGCGTGTCTTCTCTGTTTGTTAGGATTGTTTGTTGTTGCAATAATCAAATATAACTTCATCTGAATTTGATTATCTCTAAAATGTCCCTGTCTCTAAAATAGGTTACAAGAAGGAGGGGTGGGAGTGCAGGGTGACTTTCCAAGTCTCTCCTCAAACATGAAGTTAAGGCAGGAATTCAGGTAGCAACAGTCATATCAGTGCCCACAGTATAAAGCAGAGAGAAGCAAATGGGACCTTGCTTGCTTGTGCTGTGGAGCTAGCTCGCTCGCTCTACTCTTAAATAGCCCAGGGATCCAGTCTGTGAAATGGTGCTTGTTCAGTCTCAGGCAGTCCACACATTCAAGTAAAAGAGCTAGCTTGCACACTTGGGCCCCTAGCTCCTACCCTGTCCCCAGCTTTGACTTGTATTCCACACTTCCTGGACTGCCATGTTGGCCCTCCCCAGCTAAGAAGCAGCTACAGAAGAGACTATGCTATCCCTTACATCAACAAAAGGCTGGAATGTTAGGTCCCAGGCTGTCCTATTATCCAGAAATGAGCTCAAACTGGTATATGAACTGCCTGAGACCTGAGAGAGCTGGTCACAAGGCTGGATTTTTCTTCATCAATCTGCAATCTGCACCTTCCTCCACAGATGTTCCCATGGGCCAACCTTCCTGTACCGAGGACGGTTGCTATCCTTTTGCAAATCCATTTTCTAGGCTGTCATAAGAGAGGCCATTTAGCATGTGGTGACAAAAATTTGTTAATTCCAGCAACTAAGATGCTGAGGCAGGAAGATCTTAAATAGCTTAAAATGCGACCCTCAGAACTGGGTGACTCTCTAGGAAGCTGTTATTTTGTTCACGTGGTTTAGAGGAGGAAAATCAGACCCACAGAGATGAGTCCAGGTGAGCCTGATGAAGGATGCCCCAGGTGAGAGAGTTATAATCATGCTAGGTAAATAAGATCATGGCAGAGGGACACATGAGCCAGCAAGCTTCAGAGAGGATCCACCTGGCCAGGATCAGGGATAAACTGGATACAGAGAGCATTGAGGCAGAGGCACCAAAACCATGCCTTTGGTGGAGCTGAAGAGATGGCTCAGTGGTTAGGAGCTCATGCCGAGGACCAGAATTCAGTCCCCTTGTAACTCTGGTTCCAAGATGGAACTCTGTCAGTGGATCTGACATCTATAGTGGTCTATTGTTTGTGTTTTAATAAATAAAGCTTGCCTGACAGTCTGTGCAAAGCAGCCACACTAGTCACCCATGCAGGCTGGGTGGTGGTGGTGCCTGTCTTTAATCCTAGCCCTAGAGAGGTTTATAAAGTGGGATGAGACAGGAACTCATTCTCTTTCAGTCTGAAGATTTCAAAGAAGTAAGAGTTCTCTAGCGGTCTGCCTGCTTTGCTTTTCTGATCTTCAGGTTGAACCCCAATATCTGTCTGTAGGTGTTTATTACTCGTGCTACAGATGCCAGATGCCCTTTTCTGGGCTCCAAGGACACTGCCCTCATGTGCACACATCCACACCCGGATACATGCATATACACAGAATTAAAAGTAAAATCTTTTTTAAAAGAACGTTTGTGAATAACCCGTAGGAGCTGAGCTTGTCTTCTGGTTGCAGTCAGGACAGAAAGCAGGGCTTCCCGGTGGCCTGAAGGAACCAGACACAACGGGAGGTACCAGGTGTGCGCACACCCAAACACAAGTGTGCGCGCACCCAAGCACAGGTGTGCGCGCACCCAAGCACAGGTGTGTATTTTCAGTTTCATCATAGGAAATAGGAAAATATCTAAAATCTCATAGGATAATACTTCAAAAAATATTAAAGGCCTAAAACAAAGATATCTTTTATATGCTAATTCCCCCAGCTTAGGTGAGCCGGCGTCTTTATCCAATGTCCAGATTTTAAACGACACTTGCCTGAGGAAGAGGTGGGGCGTTGTGGAAGACTGTGTTGAACGCCAGAGTTCACCCCGTTGCTTGTCCTAGGAAGAGGTAGGGGCCTGGGCTTGTAGCAAGGCAAGATCTTTTATAGAAATGAAGGCTTAAAAATATGCTGCTGCACAAGATGTTTTGTGTTGAATTTATCTCGAATGCCAAGTCAGGATTTCAGATACCTCCCGAAATAAGAAAGTGACAACGGCAGGATTTCAGAGTCTTTATTTTTATTTATAATTTATACCCTGTCGGCTTCTAAACAGACCAGAGGCCGCTTCCAGTAAAAGATGTGTGCACAGTGAAGTTGCTAAAATGGGTTGAGAAAACTGGCACAGAAGGAGGAGGAAGCGGAGAGAGCGGTAAAGTTTGCACAAGTCAAGATTCCATTTAGTTCGGAGCTTTGTGGTGGCTGAAGCACGGGTGAGAAAAAGAAGCCTGGCCGGCCTTTCATCATCTGAGAAAATAAAGTCCGCAAGCAGGGAGGGGGCTTGGTCTGCAAGGCCTTCCAAGAAGGGCCTCTGAGGAAGGCAAGGGCTGGGCACTCCCTGCCTAGGGTAACAGGTGCAGGAAAGGGCCTGGCTGAGGAGATTTGGGTACTCTAAGCTGGGCAAGGGTCTAACTCAGCCCCTTGATTCCAAAGGCCCTGCTTATCTGGCTTCCTTACCCACAAATCATTAAGGCCAGGGCTTTAGAAGCCCACAGGTTCATATATCTGGGCCTGAGGAGGGGCAGGGAGGGTGGCTAGGGGTACAGAGGGCACTCGGAGCACAGGCTGCTGTCAGTACAGATGCGCAGTGGATGATGGAGCCAGAGCTGAGGGGGAGGGGAAAATTGGTCCAGGGTTGGGACCAGCTCTGCCTTACCATCATGTCCCCTGGGCCTTTGAAGAATATGAGAATTCTTTTTTATCATCATTATTTAGCATTTTAGCAATGATTTATTATTACAGGAACGGGGCGCTGACATGGCACACATATAGAGGTCAGAGACAACATTCTGGAGTGAGCTCTCTTCTTACACCTTTGTATGAGTTCTAAGGATCGAACTCGGGTCACTAGGTTTGTACGGCAACCGCCTATTACCCGGTGCACACCCCCAGTCCTCCACCCCACCAGTCCTCAGCCTGATGATCCCACGTCTTAATGTGGTTCTCTGAATTACGATGCTGTATTTGCAAGGAATCCAGCCGAGTATATTGTGCTTGGCAGTGTGTTATCTGGACCTCTAAGAGCAATTATATGGGCCTGCAGTACCGGGGCCTCCGTTCGATTCTCGCAGTAGGCGTGCAGATACAGGCATTTCCAGGTCACCTTGGTTCCCTTCTCATCCGCAGGCTTCCCTGTGGGAGAACAGGCTGCTCTGAAGGGCAGACATGGGCTTAATCTGAGCTACAACATGTATTAGATGGGTGCCTAGGACCAGTTATTACATCTGATTTGAATATCAGCCGCGTGACTCTGGGAGGATTTTTTTTTTAACCTTTCCCAGGCTTTGCCTTTCCTCTCCTTACAGTGATGATGATGACGAGGATCTCCATGTCGTGAGACCGTATGGGACAAAAGCTTTAAAAACAGTTCCTGAAAAAAAAAAAAAAGAAAGAAAGAAAGAAAGAAAGAAAGAAAGAAAGAAAGAAAGAAAGAAAAAGTAGTTCCTGATCACAGCAAACACTACTCAAGTATTAGTACTATTCGTATCACTAGGGCCGGCTGCTGCGTGCCCCCTCCTATCCCTAGGGTCCTATCTAATCGCCTGCAGTGGGACTCTGAATTGCTGAGTCTCCCTGTGTTTGGCACCAGGGTCCTTAGAAGGTTCTCCTGCCCGTGGGCCCTTGGAATTCAGCACCCTCAGGGTTTTACATAGAAAGCCTGGTGCGCGCGTCAAGATCGCAACAGAGGAACCCTCACAACCATCCTGTACTTCAGGCCTACATCTCCACCCAGAGAACCCAAGTGCAGGCCCCGCCCAGCTACAGCTGGGCCATTTGTTCTCCTTTGCTCTCCTCTACCAGAAAAAAAGGGGGCTCCCGGGGGCTCCTGGGGGCTCCTGGGGGCTCTTGGAGGTGCAGTCACAGCTTTCCTGTTTACAGCCTCAGCATCCCTTGGGCCACTCCCGTCAGGCTCTGCGCCCCCTGCTGGCTGCTGGCGGCGGCGCCTCGCTCCCTCCCTCGCCTCACTTTGAAGGTCTTTTTCCCTTTTCCCTGGCGAGAAACACCAAGTTTTTACTGGAGGGCTGTCTAGTTGTGACATGCCCTCACCTAGTGCCAACCATAATAACTGTGTCTTTGATGAATGAAGGAGAGAGGAAGGGAGGGAAGAAGGGAGGAAGGGAGGGAGGGAGGGAAGGAAAACTCTTGGTCAGCTAAGAATGCTTGTGCCTTACCTTCTGGTGCTCACTCGTTATTTCAGCCCCTATCCCCCGTGTTGGGGGGGGGGCTACATGCTGCCAGATCATTTTGCTCTGCCTCACTGCCTTTAACAAAAGGAGCATAGCACCGGTGGCTCTGTGGAGGTGCATTCCATAGCCTCCGGTTCCAGCCAGTTAGCCCCAGTCTCTCTGGTCACTCTGGCAGGGCTCTGCGCCCTCTGCTGATACTCTGCAGGGCAGGTGGAGCTGGCTCCCTAGGACCTAGTAGCTGGGATTAAAGCTACTCTCTTGCTATGCTGCCCAGAAAACCAACTCTGGAAGTAACCAAGGGTGGCGACAGATTGCCGAGAGAGTACAGTGACACTAGATGGGTTATTTTCAGGCAGGTGAATAGAGTTGGTTTTTTTTTTGGGGGGGGGGGGGGGGAGAGCAGAATTCAAGAGGGATGAGACTGCAGTGGGTTTTGCTCTCTAGGAAAGTAATTGTTGGTAACGAGAGAATTTGCATCACGGTGCACTCCTGGGACGCACAGCAGACAAGGGAGTGGTTCTCAGGCTCTGGTCACTGCGCTTGCACTACCAGCCTCCCAGGGTTTTGGGCAGAACATGTGAGCCAGTAGGGACGCCAGAGCTCAAGGCTCTGATGGAAAGACTGTTGCGCGCAATTGGCCACTGCCCTGGTGTGATTGACAGGTTGCTGTAACATCACACCAAGAGAT